TTTCTTCAAAGTAACTATAAATTTTTCCAAGAAATCTTACTGAATGTGTGTTTTCAATAGTACATAGTAGAAAAGGTACATATTGACTATACGTAAATTTGTGCTTGTTTTCGATCCTGTGTGTTTAGTATAGATCTTAGGTATTCTGTATAGAAATATAAACATTGCCTCTTAATATGAAATAACATGCAGATATTTTTTTAAACAATGGCTAATCATATTTATAAGTTTGATAATGTGATAGTAAATGAATAGCCATTGTTTTGTCTTCATCTCAGATATAAGGTTATAGTCAAAATTCTCTGTTTAATTGAAAATAGTTTTCGATCTGATGAACATTTAAAATGTTATTTCAGTTAAATTTGATATTTCAAAGGTAGACAAAGGTATAGCTTTCTTTATTACATAAGTACACATATATTATTTGATTCATTGAAGACTTTTCTGAGATGACAGTCTTTTGTCAAGTTTGATTCAAGTATTGTTTAAAAATCTGGTTTGTCAGTCAGAAAAAAGATTTGATTCCTATAAGTAAGTCAGAAACATAAGACTCTAGATAACTCACTTTAATAATGTTTCCTCTTGATATTTTTATACCACCGCAAAAAATTTGCGTTCATATATTGCTATCACGTCATCGTCGTCCAAAGACATTTGGTTTCCGTACAATAACTTTAGTTTAGGTGTATGGATCTCTATGAAATTTAACCAAAAGGTTCAATACCACAAAAGGAAGGTTGGGATTGTTTTTGGGGGTGATGGTCCCAACCGTTCAGGAATTAGGGGCCAAAACAAGCATTTTTCTAGTTGTCGAGCCCTGACTTTAGTCGAAAAAGTGAGACATAGCGATCCTACATTCCGTCGGCGGCGTCGTCGTTGTCGTCGGCGGCGTCCACAAATATTCACTCTGTGGTTAAAGTTTTTGAAATTTTAATAACTTTCTTAAACTATCCTTGATTTTCTACCAAACTTGGACAGAAGCTTGTTTATGATCATAAGATAGTATCCAGAAGTAAATTTTGTAAAAATAAAATTCCATTTTTTCCGTATTTTACTTATAAATGGACTTAGTTTTTCTGCCGGGAAATATTACATTCACTCTGTGGTTAAAGTTTTTAAAATTTTAATAACTTTCTTAAACTATCCTGGGTTTGTACCAAACTTGGACAGAATCTTGTTTATGATCATAAGATAGTATCCAGAAGTAAATTTTGTAAAAAAATAAATCCATTTTTTCCTTATTTTACTTTTATATGGACTAAGATTTTCTGCCAGGAAACAACACATTCACTCTGTGGTTAAAGTTTTTAAAATTTTAATAACTTTCTTATACTATTTTGGATTTGTACCAAACTTGGACAGAAGCTTGTTTATGATCAAAAGCTAATATCTAGAAGGAAATTTTGTAAAAAAAATAAATCCGTTTTTTCCATTTTCATACGACCACAAAAAAAATTTTGTGGTCGTATATTGGTATGACGTTGGCGTCGTCGTCGTCGTCCGGCGTCGTCCAGCGTCGTCCGAAGACACATTGGTTTTCGCACTCTAACTTTAGTTTAAGTTAATGGATCTTTATGAAATTTTACCACAAGGTTCAATACCACAAAAGGAAGGTTGGCATTGATTTTGGGGGTTATGGTAATAACAGTAAAGGAATTAGGGGCCAAAAAGGGGCCAAAAATAAGCATTTTTGTAACTTCCAGACATAACTTGTGTGTTAGTGTATGGATCTCTCTGACATTGTACCACAAGGTTCCATATCACTAAAGGAATGCTGGGATTGATTTTGGGGGTAATTGCCTCCAAATTTTAGGAATTAGGGGCCAAAAAAGGGGCAAAAAACAAGCATTTTTCTAGTTTCATGACAATAACTTGTGTGTAAGTGTATGGATCTTTCTGAAATTGTACTACAAGGTTCCATATCACAAAGGGAAAGCTGGGTTTGAGTTTGGGGGTAATTGCCCTAAACGTTTAGGAATTTGGGGCCAAAAAGGGGCCAAAAAACACATTTTTTTCTAGTTTCCAGACAATAACTTGTGTTCAAGTGTATGGATCTCTCTGAAATTGTACTGCAAGGTACCATACCACAAAGGGAAGGCTGGGATTGAGTTTGGGGGTGATGAATCATAATGGGGGTTCAAAAAATTTTGGGGGGGGATTTATTTTTTTTTCCTTTTTTTTCTTTTTTTCCTTTTTTGTTTCTTTTAAAATATTCCATTTTAAGTTGGTTATTTCTGATTTATATTAAAATCAAATAAAAATGATATGGTAGGAGATACACACCAAACAGGATGTGTAAATTATTATATAATAAGTATTGTGCAATAGCAAGAAATTTTCAATTGCACAGTATTGCACAATAGCAAGAAATCTTCAATTGCACAGTATTGCGCAATAGCAAGAAATCTTCAATTGCACAGTATTGCGCAATAGCAAGAAATATCCAATAGCACAATATTGTGCAATAGCAAGAAATTGTCAATTGTACAGTATTGCGCAATAGCAAGAAATATTTAATAGCACAGGATTGTGCAAAAGAAGATACTTCCTATAAATTGCTTATTTCTTGACCAATTTCAATGGGGTTTTATTCTTGATTTCATGGGGTTCTTTAATATGCTGAATCTAACCGTGTATTTAGTTTTTGGATTTTGGGCCCCGTTTTTAAATTGGTCCACATTGAGGTCCAAAGGGTCCAAAATTAAACTTTGTTTGATTTCATCAAAAATTGAATTATTGGGGTTCTTTGATATGCCGAATCTGTGTATTTAGATTCTTAAATTTTGGTTCCGTTTTCAAATTGGTCTACATTAAGGTCCAAAGGGTCCATAATTAAACTTAGTTTGATTTTAACAAAAATTGAATTCTTAGGGTTCTTTGATATGCTGAATCTAAACATGTATTTAGATTTTTGATTATGGGCCCATTTTTCAAGTTGGTCCAAATCGGGGTCCAAAATTAAACTTTGTTTGATTTCAACAAAAATTGAATATATGGGGTTCTTTGATATGCTGAATCTAACCATGTATTTAGATTTTTGATTTTTGGGCCCCGTTATCAACTTTGTCCACATTGAGGTCAAAAGGGTCCAAAATTAAACTTTGTTTGATTTCATCAAAAATTGAATTATTGGGGTTCTTTGATATGCCGAATCTAACCGTGTATTTAGATTCTTAATTTTTGGTTCCGTTTTCAAATTGGTCTACATTAAGGTCCAAAGGGTCCAAAATTAAACTTAGTTTGATTTTAACAAAAATTGAATTCTTAGGGTTCTTTGATATGCTGAATCTAAACATGTATTTAGATTTTTGATTATGGGCCCAGTTTTCAAGTTGGTCCAAATCGGGGTCCAAAATTAAACTTTGTTTGATTTCAACAAAAATTGAATATATGGGGTTCTTTGATATGCTGAATCTAACCATGTATTTAGATTTTTGATTTTTGGGCCCCGTTATCAACTTTGTCCACATTGAGGTCAAAAGGGTCCAAAATTAAACTTTGTTTGATTTCATCAAAAATTGAATTCTTGGGGTTCTTTGATATGCTGAATCTAACCATGTATTTAGATTTTGGATATTGGACCATAATAGGTGAATGTCCAATTTAAAATTTTTAAGTTCTTAGACCACATTCAATCTGTGTTAGAAACCTATGCTGTGTCAAATATTTAATCACAATCCAAATCCAAAGCTGTATCAAGCTTGAATGTTGTGTCCATACTTCCCCCAACTGTTCAGGGTTCGACCTCTGCGGTCGTATCAAGCTGCGCCCTGCGGAGCATTTTATTTACTTTTAAATGGACTTAGATTTTCTGCCAGGAAACAACACATTCGCTCTGTGGTTAAAGTTTTTAAAATTTTAATAACTTTCTTATACTATTTTGGATTTGTACCAAACTTGGACAGAAGCTTGTTAATGATCAAATGCTAGTATCTAGAAGGAAATTTTGTTTTCTTCCAGTTAACATTACATTCAGTCTGCAGTTAAAGTTTTTAAACAATTATTAGATTCATAAACTATCCTGGATTTTTACCAAACTTGGACAGAAGCTTCTTACAATCAAAAGATAGTATCAAGAGGAATATTTTTATTGATTTACTTCCTCATTTTTGTTGAGCCTGCGATTAACAAAAAAAGTTCGAGACACTGGGTTCCGCGGAACCCTTACAAATTTTTTTCAGACAATAATTTGTGTTTAAGTGTATGGATGTCTCTTAAACTTGTACCACATTTTACAAAAAGAAAATTCCTTCAAATATTATTTTTTTTGGAAGGGGGGGGGGAGCTAAAAAAAAAAAAATTTTTTGGAGGGGGGGGGGGGGGGGTCAATTTTTTTTCCTCAAGATTTAAGAAATTATCAATTTTCCACAAAAATAATTGGGGGTCACAATTTATTTTGCTAATTTTTTGTATATAGTCTGAAAACAGATTTACTAAGTATTCACAACAGCACAGTGTATTGCACAACAGCAAGAAATCTTCAATTGAATATAAATTCAAATCATATAACCAATTTCAAGTTCTTTGACTACATTTATTCTGTGTCAGAAACCTATAATGTGTCAAATATTTAATTACAATCCAAATTCAGACCTGTATCAAGCTTGAATATTGTGTCTATTTTTGCCCCAACTGTTCAGGGTTGGACCTCTGCGGTCGTATCCAGCTGCGCTCGGCGAAGCACATTCTTGTATAATTATAATCGGTATTTAAGGCCCCTTTCTTATAAAAAAAATCCCAGGGGCTTATAAATGGTTCAAAATATAGTATTTGTTTCAATTTCAATTTTAGAGTCATCCTGAATAGGTATGAAATAATTGCCACTGGACATTAATTAAGCAACAATAAATCAATCAATATTTGAGTATTTAGATCAGTGGAAATTAAAATCAGAAAAAATCAGAAAAAATATAAGAATAAAAGAATCAAACTTGATATAAAATATCTGCATATCATTGAAATAATTTTTATGTGAAGAATTATGCCCCTTTTGTTGGCAGGCAGCCAGACAAATGGAGGAACAACAAAAGAAGAAGAAGGGAAAGAGGAAGGGACTGGGTGGTCTCTCTCCAGAGAAGAAAAAGATGTTAAAAGTAGGTTCATTTACAGGCTCTTATGTGCTGATTTATAAATACAATGTATACAGATATAAAGAAAAGTAATGTGCAGCTCATTTATGTTATAATAGTGTTTATACATACCGCTAATGTTCTCAAAATATGCTAAATCATAAATGATGTTTTCTTACATGAATTTTTTTTTGAATATTTCTTACAATAAAACTTGTTTTAATGCATCATATTAATCCATAAAGATTTTGAAAAGGCTGTAATGACCTTAAATTATCAGAAATACTCTTGTTTAATTAATTTGGTAGTATCAATTGTATTTGAACATGCCACAAACATTTATTGCATGATGACATGTATGTTATGATTCATATATTTAAACCACAAATATGAGTATAACATGTTTGAATTCCATAAGTTTAACCACATACAATTTAGGCTATTCTTATCGTTTTGCATGTTTGTAACTCTTTAGGAAGATATTGAACATTCATAACAACAATTATTTTGTATTTGCATGTTGTCCCTGAGAATGCATAATCATTTGCATAATTTTGCATGTTATTTAGGACAATGAATATTCATCAAGTGATGATGACGATGATCCATACTATACTTTTATTGAAGAAGGATCAAAGCATTGGAATGCTGAAAAGACCAGAATTTTAGAACAAAGAATAACCCATTTGCATGACCTTGCCAGCATGGATAAAGGTAGCCATATTGTATTTGTACACTCAGAGGGCATCAAGTTATTATCTTTCTGTCTAAAAAATTTCCAAAATGGCAAAGAACGTGTTAATTTGAATGATTTTTTAAAGGTTAGTGAATGCTAATTTTAAAAAAGTTGCATAAACTTTCATATTTTAAAGGGGAAATAACCTGATTATAATGACTTATTCAAAATAAAAATATTTTAAACTTGATTTAACACCTGAATAACTTATAATTTTGAATCAATTCAGTGATGGATGAAGACAGATAAGGATAATGATAAGATGCCATTGTTCTTAACATAAATTTATTTCTGAAAATTGTCAGAAAAAGCCTTGCTGAATGAGATATGAAGACCCTATTCATGATATCAGTTCAACTCTGGTCTTCATGATTTGAAAGTTTAGGGGAACCAAGTAACTTCTAGAAATAAGTGTTCATGTCACATGAGTTCAATTTAGATTTGCTATTATTAGGCTTAAGATCTATCAAGTCAGTCAGTTGCATGAAATGGTAGGAAAACTGCATGAAAATAAAAATAAAGACAAATACGTTCTGATGAAATAGTATGAGGTATCAGATTCTAAGTTTGATTATGGGGTTTGAAGGCTCTTTTTTTTTACATTGACCACCCATATAAACTAATTAACAGAAGATAACTCCTATTGATTTCAGGTGAGGGGTCAAAATAAAAGCTAAAATTAAGGGTTTATAAAAAAAATTTATGATCAAAGCACAGGGCTTTAAGTCAATACCTAATCATTGCCAAATTGTTGAGGCTTAAATGCTTGAAAAATCTTTATCACTCATCATAAGCTTATTCCAGTGTGGGAAGGATGATATTCAAGTTCAAAGATTCAGGTTAAGTGTTAAATTACTTGGCCATTTTTCTTCATGAATGATATACATATATGTCATAAAGAAGTCTGTTGCATATCTAGTGAAAGATTGAAGGGAAAAAATAGTAATGTTGAATGCATTTGAATTCAGTTTTTTTTAAGGGAATAGTTTGCTTTGTGGTGCCATTGTTGATTTGAGTGCCTTCCAAACCAAATTTTTTTTTTTTTTAATAGCCCTTTTTTACTTCTGCATTCCTTTAACAAGCATTGCATGTTTGCCTTGAAATAGAACATGTTTTAATTTTCAATATCAGTTTGACATAGATTATTCATATTAATTTTCCTTGTTCAATTCCTTTGTTGTTTGTTTTTTAAAAGATGTATGTCTTTTGTGTGACTTAGCAGTCTTGTGTTGATGGTGCATGAAGTTTTTGAAATGAGTGAAAATTACTGTTTCAACCACAACAGATTTGCATGAATGAAAGAAGCCGTTGAAATCATTTTTAGAAAATATGCCATTTATTTTTAGAAACTTATTATGCAAAAAGCTGCAGAAGATCTTCGTAACGAGGCTAAAGCTAAAGCAGAAGAGAAAGAAAAATATATTAATGAGCGTGTTGGTCACTTAAGTATTGAAGGAAAAGCTGAAGGTACACTGTTGTGCTGCATGACCAAGTTTTCCCTTTAATTCTACTTGCTGTTTATAGCATTTTATTTCTACTTTCACTTTGTTAACAGTCACTGTTTCCATTCTAGTACTTTTTATATTTTCTATGATATTATGGTCATACATTGAAATACCAAAACCCAATCCCTTTTAATTTGTCAGTCATATCCAACAAGAATCCTCAGTACTTTTTGAAAAAGCAGTCATAATCAGTAATGGAACCAAACCATCCAGTCTAAACCAATCTGATTAAAATACATATTTTGTGACCATGCCTTGCTTACAAGGATCAGACAACCCTCCTTTTTACTTTCTGTTCTGGAACTTATTACATCAAGGCCAATAAAATTTCAGCCTTTAATTTTTTGAAAGTGTGTATCATTACCACAAAAAACATTGTCACAAAAAGCTCGACATAGGGATAGTGATCCGGTGGTAGCGGCATTAACAAACTTCATAAAATCTTAATATTTTGAAAGGTAGAAGAACTGGATCCTTTATACTTTGTATATAGATGCCTTATGTTATGACGTATGTCATATGTCCATTGTCCTTGACCTCATTTTCATGGTTCAGTGACTACTTGAAAAAAAGGTTAAGATTTTTAGTATTCTGAATTTCTCTCTTATTATGAGTAATAAGATAACTATATTTGATATGTGCGTACCTTGCAAGGTCCTCATGCACGTCAGACAGATTTCACTTGACCTCAACCTCATTTCATGGATCAGCGATCAAGGTTAAGTTTTCGTGGTCAAGTCCATATCTCAGATATTATAAGCAATAGGTCTACTATATTTGGTGTATGGAATGATTGTAAGGTGTACATGCCCAGCTTGCAGGTGTCATGTGACCTTGACCTCATTTTCATGGTTCAGTGGTTTAAGTTAAGTTTTGTGTTTTGGTCTGTTTTTCTAATACTGTATGCAATAGGTCAACTATATTTGGTGTATGAAAATATTTTACGATGAACATGTCAGTCTGGCATGTTTTATTTGACCTTGACCTCATTTTTACGGTTCATTGCTCAATGTTAAGTTTTTGTTTTTTGGTCTGTTTTTCTAATACTATAAGCAATAGGTATACTATATTTGGTATATGGAATGATTGTAATGTGTATATATCTGTCTGGCAGTTATCATCTGACCATGACCTCATTTTCATGGTTCATTGGTCAGTCTTAAGTTTCCTGGTTAAGTTTGTTTCTCAGATACTATATGCAATAGGTCAACTATATTTAAAGCATTTAATGATTGTAAGGTGTACATGTCTGTCTGGCAGGGCTCATCTGACTTGACCTCAATTTCATGGTTCATTGATCAATGTTAAATTTTCCTGGTTAAATTTTGTTTCTTAGATACTATGAGCAATAGGTCAACTATATTTAAAGCATATTTGGTGTATGGAATGATTGTAAGGTGTACATGTATTTCCAGTTTGGTTTATCTGCCTTGACCTCATTTTCTTGGATCATGTTCAGTTTATGTGAAAGTTGTAGTAAAGCTTTATATTTAGGAATATTAACATAAGATCAATGGTCAGTAAAGAAGGCGAGATATTTCAGCATGTGCACTTTTGTTTATATTAAATATTTCCCAACCTTATGTTTTCCCTGCTCTGCATTGATTGAAGTTCAGTTATGTTATCAAAAGTCTTTGCTGGTTTTGTGCCACTTTAAGTAATCAAACTTTCCTGTTTTCAAAATATTTGACATGTGGTCATGTGGTATGTTATAAAATTTATAAATTATTTCCTAAGCTGTCAAAATATCATTTTCAAATCAGAGATGTGCTATTTTGCTTTATGTTAAATGAAGTTACTCACATTTTACCTCTGAATTAAGAAACCCATTTCTTGATATTAAAATTCAAAGCAAACGCTTTGGTTACAGTTTTTTATTTGTCTTCATATTGTGAGGACTTTTTATTTCTGTAACTTTATAATGTTTTTCTTCAAAAATACATCTTATGATCTAAAAGGGTGGTTGAAAGCACAGGATCTGCTTACCCGTCTGGAACAGCTGAGATTACCTCCAGTTTTTGGTGGGGTTCATGTTGCTCAGTTTTTAGTTTTCTATGTTGTTTGTTGTGGACTGTTGTTGTCTTTTGGTCCTTTTTTAGCTGTGGCATTGTCAGTTTGTTTTTGACTTATGATTTTGAATATTCCTTTGGTGTTTTTTTCGCCTCTCAATTTGGTAAGAGAGCCTGATGCATCTCTTATACATGTCATTAGTGTTTTTCTATTCTATAGTTTTGGATGAGTGTGTTGTGTTTAAATGGCATTTGAACTTCTTTGAATGCCTGTTTGATGTAATCAGTTTATACAATAGAGAATTTCAAGATTTAGGTCAACACCTTTTATGGCGGAAACCCCTCTTTAATCCGAAAAGTTGGCAGGTCTGCAAGAATGTGTTTTCTTGTGTACTTGAAATATTTCTTTTGTTTACTTTTTCCTGTTCTTACTATCCAGAAGCATTTTCTTATTTTCTTTCATTTTTTATCAGTCCATCATAGATTACATCATAATGTTTTATCTGCTTGGCATTATTTCTTCTCATCAATTGACACTATGCTATTCACAATTAGGTTTTCATCAAACATTAAGTATTTATAATTTGTTTTAATTTCTGTTTTTTTCTAACATTTTTTCTTTTCTTTTCTCTCTGTGTGCTGTTGTTTTCTAAATTGTTTTGTTAATATTCTACTGGTGATATTTTTTATTTCATTTGATACTTAAAAGATTTTTATTTGTAAAAACTTTTTTTTATTTATGATGGTAATGTCTTTATTAAAGTACATGTACTTAAAACATCATACAAATTATTAAGATTCAAAATGGGCTGTAGGGGCAGAATAAGATCAAATTCTTTTTAACAATTACCAAAAATATTTGACAGTGCCTGTCTTAGGAATAGAACCATTACTATAGCCACTCAGTGTTCTTTAACATAAAGAAAATAAATCAATCCTTTAAAGATCCATGAAGTGAAATTGAACAACAAGGGGTAGTTAGCATTGTTTATAAGACCATTGTGTTGTACTAGTATTTCCTTTCATTAGAACTGAAAAAGTTTTGTTATAGTGTCATTATTAGCCATGGCTTTCCCAAAGGTTAAAAGTCTTCTGGCAAATGTATGGGACATTGATATGACAAAATATACAGAGGTCAATTTCTCAAAATCTCATCAGGCATTTGTTAACTTTTTACACATTGTGACTTGGATGGAGAGTTGTCTCATTGGCACTTATACCACATCTTATTTATATTTAGAATAGTTTAGTTATTTTATTATTTGAAAGTTAAATCTTTTAGATCAGCAAAAATTAAATAAAAGAATACTGTTCTGTTATTTGACTCAAATTTAATTTTTTTTTACAGAATTCATAGCAAAGAAGCCATACACCATTTTTTTTTTTTTATTTAAGGAATGACTGTAATATTTTTTCTGTCTATTCTAAATAACATCAAAAATGTGGTGCACTTAAAAGTGACCACATTTTTTTGGTTATTTCGAATAGACAGAAAAAATATTACAGTCATTCCTTATAATTTAATTCTTAATTCCATTTTTAAGGAGTAAATTTTGAAAAAAAACGTTGGTAACGTCATGGTCACATGACAAAATTATGTCTATGAGCTGATAGACAAAACACTTTCAGCCAATCCAAAGACGTGTTACATCCAAAATTAAATTATTTAACAATATTTGTGTCCTCCTGTATTTAAAAGCCTTTTGAAAATTGGACCACATGACATAAATCTGAATCAAATGTTGGCATATACTTATGCAGTTTACTGTAAATTCAGAAATTATTGGGTGCACTTATTATTACAATTTTTGAAGAAAAGACAAAAATGGAAGTTTAATTACTGTGATTTCATTGTTGGATACCAATTTTCGTGAGTACAGGTGAACCACAAATTCAAATGTTCAACAAATTACAAATTTTCTATGGGCTTTGTATGCAGAGATTTGCAAAACCACGAAATCAAATATCCATGAAAATGCAAGTTTTCCTCAATCCACGAAAATAAACGAATCTACAGTATTACAATTTCAGCAAACACATATCAGATATCAAAATGCAAGTTCATGTTATTGCAATACTCACCCAGTCGCATTATTCTCATGAATAAAAACCTCGCAATAATTTCTGAATTTACAGTATTTAAATCATGAAATAAATTATAATTGCTGTGTTTTGATTAAAGATTTATGAATTAACATACATATTTTTTCCATTGAAGGTGATCTGGTAAAACTATGTAAACAATTACATCAACAATTATCTAAACTAGAAGAGGAAGTGTATGACTGGGAGGTGAAAATCAGAAAACAAGATCAAGAGGTAAGTTACAATTAAAAATCTTTGTATAGTTTGGAGACTGCTTATTTTTATGGAATGAACCTATTTAGAAATTCAATTGACTGGTTGTTAAATGAAATGGACTAATTTGAAAATTCATTTGAATTGTGCAGTTTTAGAGTATTTGTAAATGAAGTCAGGACCAATCAGGAGATCTAAACAGTGTCATTTGCATAATGCCACACTTTTTGTGACTTATTAATGATTATTTTAATTCATCTTACGGTTACATTAATGATGTAGCATTAGACAAATCAGATTATTTGATGATAATAGTAAATGGAGAAGGTTAAATATCAATTTGGAAAGCAAACTAGCAACAGTATAAAAAACAATTTTCACAAAGGATCAGAGAAAAATTGGGATAATATACTAATGGTATACATTTCTCTCAGCAAGGTAAACTGTAGTTTTTGTCAATGATTAAAATAAAATTGGAGTAAACCTCAATTAGACAGTAAACCAAGTACACAAAATAAAAAAAAAAAAAGATATCTTATTTGATTCTGAATTACGTCCAAGAAGAGCCAGTCAAATATTTTACTGCTATAAGGTTTCCTGTCTTCTTTTATCCTTTAACAACCTAATGTTTATATTTCAACATGCTTTTATTAGTTTCGTTTTATTGCAGATTATCACATTAACATTAAAAGTAAACGATTCTAAGGGAAAATTGTAAGTATCTTATAAGTTATGATTAAAAACTATCCTGCACACTGCCATTTTACAATACAAATACAGTTGTACAAATAAACTTGAGCTTTATTTGTATAGTATACAAATATTGTGTCCTGGTATCCTATTTCTGTTGGAGTAAATGGTAATATTCAAATTACTTTCACATCACAGTTTGTTTTGGTGTCTTCTTTGTGGTCAGCATCTAAGCTATCAAATTTTTGTCAAAAGAAAATGGAATGGTTGTAATAGAGACAACAATCACATAAAAACTTGTTAATAAACATGTGTATATATGTCATCCTTTGGACCAGCAAAAACTGACCTTATAAGAAAGGCAACACACTAAATAGACCTTACCTTTATAGCAGGTTTCACTGTATATCAGATACACAGCTTTTCTATTGGTGTTGATCATCTTAATAGTTGTCAATAATGATTTAAAGAACTTGCAATGATCAGAATTCAGTACTCTATGATTACTTGTGAGCCTTGCTTGCAGAGTGGTCTCAGACCTGCCAACTATCCCGATTTATGGGGGATATCCCCCATGAGAGGTGTTGACCTGAATTTTGAAATTCTTTATTATATAAACAGAACACCTCAAAACAGGTATTCAAATGAGTTATAAGGGTATTTAAGCACATATATACTCATTCAAACAATATAGTAGTAGATTAAGACAATACAAGAGAAACATAAAGTCCTCTTGCGCTTAAAATCCCCCATAGAGATTTTGAAAAGTTGGCAGGTATGTGGTCTATGTAGTTCACTACTGTATCACATGCTTGTCGGCACTGAGCTCCCTCCAAAAAATAAAAACTCGCTGCCACAAAATATCCAATAGTTCTGAAAGTGACTTAAACACCAAAAATCAATCAATCAATCTTTAATAACTGTCTAACATTTTTTAGGTCATTTTTATATTTATATATATTTTTTATAAATAACTAGTGAGCTTGTACATTCCCATTTATTGTCTGACAACACAAAATTGTTTAACTTTAACAAACATTAAAACAACCAAAAGGCCAGTTTATTTAAAAAGACACTACATTAAATTATATTAAGGCCTTGGTATAACTTTGGCTGAATACTGACTAATGATATATTTTTGAATTTAAGAGTATGTTTCCTACTACATAAATGTAACAGAAAAATTATTTTTTCTTTCCAGCGCTAAACCAGTCTTAAAGAAAGTCAACAAAACAGAAAGCAAGTAAGTAAAAGTATATTTGTTATGTTATAATCCTTCAAAATCTTTGTGATTATGCTAAATAAAAAGTAGGTAATGCCTAAACACATAACTAACAATGCCTGGTGGTGATATTATTATGCTTTTATGATGACTAGCCAAATGATATTTCAAAAGATTGAAAAAGTAATTAGCTTCAACCAGTTCACAGTGTTTGCATATAATATCAAAAGCATGAATACCAGTCCATATTTATAAAAGTGATGAACTGTATTCCTTTAATGGACAAAAATAAGAGATGACAAAAATTTCATTTACAATGATTGTCTTTAAATATCAAAGCAAGAATTATTTTTTATGAAATACAAGATAAGTAAATATTAACATGTATTGTCTAACTTGTACCAGCTCAACACAGCTAGTTGTATGTTTATTGTAGTCCACAGGAGGATAGGTTACCCAATATTTTAACATTTTCCCCTCAGTCACTTAGTCTTTAGTAAGGCTCTATGTAGACCTCATTGTTTTGTCTTAAATCAGGCCATTAGTTTTCTCATTTAAATTGTTTCCCATTTTGTCATGCCTGTGCCTTTTATAGCTGTCTTTATGGTATTGGTTTTGCTCATTGTCAAAGGCCATACTGTGCCCTATAGTTACTTACATTCACATCATTTGGACTCTGGTAAAAAGCTGTCTCATTGACAATCATACCACATGGTAAATAGTTATCTCATTGACAATCATACCACATGGTAAATAGTTATCTCATTGACAATCATACCACATGGTAAATAGTTATCTCATTGACAATCATACCTCATGGTAAATAGTTATCTCATTGACAATCATACCACATGGTAAATAGTTATCTCATTGACAATCATACCACATGGTAAATAGTTATCTCATTGACAATCATACCACATGGTAAATAGTTATCTCATTGACAATCATACCACATGGTAAATAGTTATCTCATTGACAATCATACCACATTTTCTTATTTTTATATTCATCACATAAGTTACATTATAATTGTACTTTTACAATTCCAGATTTAAAAAACTAACTAGTAAAACAGCCAAAGATAAAGCAGATTTCAGAGATAACCTGAAATCTTCAGGACAAAGTAAATTTGCAATAGATGAAGAAGAGAAGGTAAGAATTGTGTACCGTTAGATATTTTACGGGAAAATGCTACTTTATTTTAATACACAGAGTCATTCCATTATTATAATCTCCAATTGAAAAAAGTATCCCTTCTTAGGCAAAGAATAAATAGAATAAATTGTCTACAGAGTAAGTTTTCAATTAAAAGTCTATGAAATTTACATTAACAGGTTTATAGTGACAAAATATTAAAGGAGTGGGTTCCCCAATATGGCAGCTATTTCTTGCTAAAATTTAATTTCACATTATGATTTAAGTGCCATGATTTCAATGATATTATTTAAAAAATGACAAGATATATGTTAGATCTTTTTTATCAGTGTTTTTATGATGTCAGATTAGGTTTCGCACATGCTTATGCATCAACTTGAAACACTTTTTATCTTGATATGATAGAGTTAATATTTGGGCAAAATAGGGCCCTTATAAGACCTACTCCTTTAATACTAATCTTCAAAACCTCATTCTTCTGAATAATATTTAAAACTATTTAGTTGTTAATTATATATGATATGACTCTGTTTTCTTTGCATTGGAAGTGGAATATATTATTGGCAATTCAATTTCATTACATAGTATTGGTTGCACTGTTGTTTATGGGTAGAATTAAATGAATTAACATGTAGAGTAGAAATTTGTTTTTCTAAAAACTTCAGGATGTTTTAATCTTGTAATAAATTTGTTGACAAATAAATATATGTCAATAATCATGATAGGAATAATTTGATTAATCAAAAAGTTTGTGAAATAAGAAATTGAAGGCCCTTTTTGATTTTTTAAAGGAAAATGTATAAACTGAATGATATAAGAGGGCGGATAACTATGTTAATTGATACATCTCTTATACATCCGTTTTCATCTTTTGTTTTCTTTTTTTTTTGTAAATATTTCTTGAATATATCTTTATTTTATTTAATTAAATGAAGACATGCAATAGGTAATGAAGATTAAGAAAAAAATTTACAAGTAAAAAGAGCGAGAAAAAGTTCTCAATTTGAGGAACTTTTTAAAAGATAACTTGATTTTTTCCATAATGTTGAACTCGCCAAAAACTAGGAATGCTTTACTGATTAAAGTTAATAAGTTTCAATTCTGTTTTATTTAGACCTGAAATAAACACAAAGAACAAAATAATTAATAAACAACTTTTTTAATAAGTCAGAATTTTAAAATCTATATTGGAATATGTCTTTTCATGTTGGCAATGAGCAGAAAAAAAAACATTAAATCTAAATTTAAAATTATTTACTTTTATTTTATGAGTGAAAATGATATGATTTTTCAGGCTGAATAACTTTGACCTGTCATCATTTTCACCAAAGGTATGTCGCATCATTTCATAAACAGATCATAGCATATACCTAGCACATGCACTATAGCGCTATCCTTATTAGCACATAGCAAGATCATTTAGCATTCTAGCACCTTACCAGAATTTACAGCTCTTCACTATCCTAGAACACAGTCTTTATTACCACAGATCATAGCAGTGCTTTAATTTATAACTTCCTTCCTACAGGATAACTAAGCTTCTTATTGTTTCTCAGCACATATGCTGGATTTTAATTTTAATTTGTTTCAGCTATTTCAGTTTACCAACTCATTTTTACTTACTCCTAAAGCATATCTAGCAAAGAAATATAATCCAAAAATATATTGTATATTTATGCAATATATTTGCCAGCTGTGTCATTTGTTTTGTAAATCTTATACTGTAAATTCAGGATTTTTTTTTATGCGTTTATTATTGCAAACATTTGTGCCTGGATGGAATTTGCAAAAATAAAAAATGCTCATTTTAAAATTTGATAGCATTATTTAGTTTCATTCAATTCCCTGAACTTGCAATAATAAATGCACACAAAAATATCTGCATTTACAGAACCCATTTTGTTTATAAAACCTTTATCAGCTTTATCAAAGCTTTCTTTCTACCATAAACTCTATCAGTTTAAAGTCACAATATTTTATGTAATTGCATGAAAACATTTTTTCTCCTTACTTTATACCCTCAGTAGTGAATAAATAATTGAAGTGTTTTATTATATTGCATCTGAATAGCATCAGGGTAGTTTATATTCAATTAGCTGTTTCAGAATCAAATGTTAGGTGCAATTTCAGCATATATGTATGTAGATACAATAAAATGATAATAAATTTCATATTTGGATGAGTAATTTTTGTTTAGTACTTTGATAACAATCACAATGATTTTATGTACACTTTTGAGAATATAACCCAGAATATATTTGATTCTAAAAATGGAAATTGGTAGATATGAAATTTAGATTTCAGGTTAAGATATGAAATGTCAGCCATCTTTTACATCCACTTCTTTAAATTTAAGATTCCTTCCATTTGTAATTTCTTACTTCCGTTATTCTATTTATCATAAATATTGTCAGGGTTGATCAGGTTGTTAACTATCATAAAATTTGAATCCAGTTCTTTGTAGGAATCAATGATAGGGTCTTCAAGGATGCATTTGATTGAGATTAGTGATAAACCAAACCTCATTTCACATTCCTTACTTTTAATTGTTCTTATATCTTATTTAATTTCAATCAAATCTTACACAGTAATAACTAATAACATTGTACTTTCTATTGTAGAAATAATCACCCTTTTATAAAGAAGATATACAGACAGCAGATGATACAGCAGCAAATGGAATTTGAACTTTGACCTCAATCCCATCATCCTTACAGGAAAGGCACATCTGATTTCAAATGATCCAAGGTTATGTTGTAATGACCTTGAAAATTCCATCAACCATCAGAGAACCATTTGCCATACAGAACTACCATTGAATAAAAGTGTGCATTTTTTTGTATCGTAAAAGATGAGAATTTTACTTTTAACTTTCGAGTCTGTATCTTCTTTTACTTATATTTGTGCAGGTTAAATGCTGATGAAGCTGTAACTATATCTCCATGTTTTTATTTTTTACTGAATGTGAATATTTTTTGACAGAATGTAATGTTGTGAACAATATAGTGATATTATTTATTGTAGTTTGACGATAGCCTTTACATTATAAATCTACTGGCAGTTAAAAAGATAATTATATTGTGTTCATGTCAGTGTACCGTTTCAGAAAGACGATGAAGTATGTATCTATATTATTATAAGGTGCTTGACAGTATATTGAGATTTTATCTAAATTATATTATAGCCATGTAATATTGTGATATTCAAAACTTTATTTTTACAAATTAGGATTATAGTATTTAGAGTTTATAAAAATTGTATTTGTATTTAGTCAGTGAAACACAAATCTCATTCAGGCTATACTAGATCTGAAATCTTAGACTTTTTAAATAATCTGAATCAATCATTAAGAAATTTTATTCCACTTTTAAAATTAAATTTTTCTGATTGTTGAGTTTTGTTTTTGTCTTGTTTTTGTAAATTTTCTTATTTTGATTTTCTGTTATATTTTCCTCATGTTTCCAACAAATCATTTAGACTAGGAATAAAATTCTAATTACCTCCCTTTTCTTCACCTTTTGTCTCTGTTGACAGTTGGGAGAACCTTTCAGCATTAATAATAACAATTAACAATCAGATGAATCCATTGAGGTCAGTCAGTACATAGTTGTTTGTATTTAGATATAGAATGTTGTTGTGTCAGAGATATTTATTTAGTTGTAAGCCTGATTAAATCTGTTATCATTTGCAATAAATCTCATTCCTTGCCAACTAGAGTTTCAATTCATGCCTTAATAATTTAATACCATAGCGGTCAAAATTCAGTTTATTACTTCCTTTTAGCGTAGCGGAGGGGGCATTAAGTTTTACCCTTGTCCGTCCGTACGTCCCAAAATTGGTTTCAGTTCTCTAACTTAAGTTTGCCTCAACCAAATGTTATAAAACTTATACACAATGCTTATTACCACAAAACACAGATCAAGTTTGAATTTTGGTGTCGTCACTTTAACTGTTCTCGAGTTATGCCCCTTTATAAATTGGAAAAATGCAAAATTTTTAGTTTCTGTTCTCTAATTTAAGTTTGCCTCAACCAAATGTTATTAAACTTATACACAATGCTTATTACCACAAAACACAGATCAAGTTTGAATTTTGGTAGCGTCACTCTAACTGTTCTAGAGTTATGCCCCTTTATAAAGGGAAAAATTGCAAATTTTTAGTTTCTGTTCTCTAACTTAAGTTTGCCTCAACCAAATGATATGAAACTAATACATAATGCTTATTACCACCAAATACAGATCAAGATTGAATTTTGGTAGTGTCACTTTAATTGTTCTAGAGTTATGCCCCTTCATAAATGGAAAAATTGCAAAATTTTTTGTTTCCGTTCTCTAACTTTAGTTTGCCTCTACCAAATTTTATGAAACATATACACAATGCTTATTACCACAAAATAAAGGTCAAGTGTGAATATTTGTGGGGTCACTTTAACCATTCTCGAGTTATACCCCTTTATAAATGCAAAAAAATGCAAAATTTTTAGTTTTCGTTCTCTTACTTAAGTTGCCTCAACCAAATGTTATGAAACTTATACACAATACTTTTTACCACAAAACACAGATCAAGTTGAATTTGGGTAGCGTCACTTTTATCATTCTTGAGTTATGTCCCTTTATAATGTTGTATGCAAGCGGGGGCATTATCTGTGTCCATGGGGACACATTCTCCATTTATTTTTTTCAAAATATATGTCCCCCTCCTAGTATTACCTATTTATTAGTTGCAAAGAGAACTATTTCAAGTTTTGTGTATGCCTTCTAAACAAGAGGAAAATAAGAATATGTGGTATAATTGCCAATAAGCTGCCAAACAGTGTCCATTCGATAACTTGAAAACACTTTGACAAAATCTTTTCAAATTTATATATGTTGTTTCCTGCGACTAAATGAAGGTCAAATTCAATTTTCATCATTGTTGAGTTGTAGACCTTAAGTAGAAAAGTGATTGATTTTGGCCTTTCCACTTCAGTCTTCTGAACACTACAAAAATTCATTTATTTTTTTTACTTAATCCTGTTTGGGGGGTCCAGATTTACAAATATCATTTTACATAAAAGTGAGAGGTTTAGCTAGCTATAAAACCAGGGTAAATCCACCATTTTCTACATAAGGAAATGCCTGTACTAAGTCAGGAATATGACAGATGTTTTCCATTCATTTGATGTGTTTGAACTTTTGATTTTGCCATTTGATAAGGGACTTTCCATTTTGAATTTTCCTTGGAGTTCGGTATTTTTGTCATTTTACTTTTTGCTATAAAGGTAAAGTCTATTTAGTGTGTTGCCTTTCTTATAAGGTCTTATAACCTTGGAGTTCGGTATTTTTGTTGTTTTACTTTTTTCATGCAGGAAAATCTGGTTTGCTGTCAATCTGACAATAATAATTATTTTAATTTCTCTGATAAAGAAGAAACAAACAAACAAGTGTAAGTAATTAAATCACAAAATTCATTAGGGTATATAGGAATTCATTCATTTGTCTGGATCAATTTCTTCGTTCATAGTCTAATATGTATTGCACTTTACAATGCAATTGACCATGAAACTCCTAATGATTTTTTGTTTTTCCCAGGTTATTCAGAATTGTGTCCTGTTTTTACCATGTTGATTTACACATTGTTTTCACAACTCTTTTTGCATGGTTAAATGTTTCTACATAAAACTTGGTACATTGAAAGCGCATAGTACGGAAATTTGTATATGCTTTGATGTTCTGATGTACTCAATTTTGCTATAGTCTTCTCTCTTTGAACTTATAAACCAGAGGGCCTCCTATGTGGTCCCTTAAAACTGGGGAAAATCTCAATATATTTAGATTGGTTGATAGACTAATTGGTATTTAACATCCAAAGGCATATATTTCATTCAGTTTAGGACGAGAACATGCTGATGTGATATGCTTGTGAACCTTGCTTTTTACTAGACCGACACACTGAGCTGGATTGTAATGTGCTAGTTCACAAGTAATATTAAGATATTAAACAAAGCAAAAGGAGTTATGATAACAATGTGGGAAATAAGCATGGAAAAAACTTCAAAGGGGCATAAAAAGTCTGAATAAAAAGAGCAGTAGTTAGGTCATGGTCAATGCATATTATGATCATATATAACGAGTGGAAGATCCCTATTCATTTTGAAGTCACTGGTCAAGGTCAAAGTCATGGTTATTAAAGATAAACAGTACAGAAAAGGAGTTTCCAGAAAAAATATCAACTAAACATGCATATAATAAGAGGGAACTCTCTTTTGATTTTGATATTATTGCTGCCAATTTTAAGGTCAAAGTAACTAAACATACTGAAAGTGCAAAAATTGAGTTCCCAGATATTAACACCAGCAACCATGCATGATCACATACAAAGAGGGGCAGTTCTATTGATTCTGAGGTCATACTTTCTACACATTATTAAAGGACAGTGAGTGTAGAATGGGGGTTTCCCGATCATATATACGTAGTCACGATCAATAAATTGAAGTTATTCTGCCACTTTTGGATGCACATGTTAATATTTAAAAAAGAAGTTTATGCTTAACATTCTATAAACAGTGAAGTTACAAACAACCTAGATAGTGGTTTTAAATTAGTTCGTCTCATGTAGGAGGGTCTTAATACATTCATGACTGATGGGGGCATGTGGTAGGGTGTTATAGTCTCTAATGGTTCTTAGGTAGAACGATTCTTTCCTCACTTTTGTTCTACACGATGATACTTAGAATCTTTTTACGCTGGTTTGTGTTTTGAGATATTCTGTCTAGCAGAGTGAGAATGTTTTCGGTGTAAACATAGACCGTCCCGTTGGCAAGCATGTACGTCATCGTTAGTCTTTATATTCTACGATCTTCAAGGGTTTTTTTATTCAAGTAAGTTAAGCATGGAATGTGTTGTGATATATGTTAGTGGCGTATATTGTTCATAAATCAATGTTGTTTCATTTTTATTTTGAAAATTGGTGTTGATGGTGAATATTAAAGTTTGATAGGTTCTGTTTAATTTATTTACTACAACTGTTTAAGACTCGTGACTATTTAAAGATCGGCATGTAAGTGTACAGACACTTGTCTATTTTTTGAAGACTGTACGATGATCTATAGTTGTCTTATTTGTTATTATATCCCATGCAACGAAGTTGCGGAGGGTATAATGTTTTGTCCGTTCGTCCATCTGTTATCACTTAGTTGTCGCGAGGATAGCTGCTTCATTTTTTGTCGAATCGTCTTCTAAATTGAATTAAAGGGTTCCACTGATCAATACCTCAGATCGAGTTCAATATTCAGAAAAATGTGACTATGGGAGCAAACTTGTAAACATATCCCATATTGATTCTTGTTGACAGGACAGCTACTTCATTGTTCATCAGATCCTCTTCAAATTTCTATGAACTTGAAACTACATCTGACACGCCGCACGAAAACTTGACTGAGATGTCATTCACTTTACATGGATTCCGGCGTCAGTTAAATTAGGTCAATTTTGTGAAATTCAGATAACCCAGCAACACATACACAAACAAAAACCAACATTACAACAGTTTAGTTATATATATTTTTGATAATGCCTCTATCATTAGGATACCGTGAAACTATTATGTTTAGCGTTAACATACAATATATTCTTCGCGTATACGAAAAATTTAACAAATTCCTTCTGCATCATAATTAATGAAAATATTTTAATTAACCAAAGGTGGTAGCTGTATCTGAGATTGAAGGTGCAAATGTATATAAAGAAATTGTTCCATCGTTATATGCAGGTACAAATATGTCAGTATAGCCGTCTGCGTTGACATCACCAAAGACAAACTGTCCAACTGTTCCCTTTCCAACGTCTACAAATTTATGTGATTGGTAGGACCAGTCGTCTGTACGTGAACTGGATGGTTCCAATATATACCCCTTGCCATCATCATCTCCGGATACCAGTATGTAAGGTTTCTTATCTCTGCAGAAAAAAAATATATATTGCAATGTAGCGTTCACACAAAGTATATTTTCTATAGCATTTTTACTTTGAAACATCTTAGAAAATTTTGCTGTTTCAATGCTTAAGTTTTTAAGCGTTTTTAAAGCCCCTAAATTTTAAGGTGAAAAGGGAATCATTTAAAATGTATGTATAGTGCGTTTTGAGTATATTGCTTTTTATCCTGTTTTTGGCTTTGTGATATGAGGCTGTTAGAGTTCGTTTGCTGAGTTCACTTGCCACAGAGCTTTTTAAATTGATCCGCAGTTGATTTTAATTGATATAGTGTAATATGTAGATACTAGTTTTTTTTTAAATTGTGTTGCCAGATAACTATGTCATGAAATCTATAATATACTTTTGTTATTTCATACACGTTTGAAGTCAGCATTTTATACGTACGTTGTGTTTTGTTTCATTGTAAAGAACCCAAAAGCTGAACCTGGAGCACCTTTTCCGGTTCCCGAAGTAGCTGGTGTAAACCCAGTAGCTAAAGTATGACGTTCGAATTTACCAACCCTTAAAAGGAAATAGAACAATTATGCATTATTATTAACACATTAAAACAATTATGATGTATTTTTATTTTTTGCCATTTTATGTTCTATATTTATTCTGATTTACAGGGAAGTCTATATTGTGTTTTCGATCTAAAAAGGATTATTTTTGTCTATTGTCCTACAATAAATATATGCCACAACTCTCAAATATATCATACTGAATTTCAAGTCATTGTGACGTCAACGCATTTCTATACCAGATGAATAAGACAAGACTGATTATTTTACTGTGAACAGAAGAGACAAACACTGATACTGTTCATATCTTTAGTTTTTAAAATGTTAGTCTTGTAAATGTGTTTTCATGCCTGAGATTTTTGTCGTACTCTCATTTAAATCATTAGAATTAAAACACAAGACCATCGTGCACAAGACACATTTGCAGAGTGGCGTGCTAACATCTATAAGACTAAAATTATGTTTTACCTAAAATCGTTTGGGATTTCATACGCCAATACAGAACCGTTGTTGCCATTGGATACTACAAGTAAATCTAGTTTACCGTCCGCATTTAGATCTCTGACTTCTATATCAAATAAGGCCCCTGCATTACTATCAACAACACGTGAATGGATCTGAAAAAGATAAAACACTTTTCGCCATTCACTTATATAATTATTAAATAGACTGAGTAGAGCATGTACAACATAGTCATTATTTCCTCAGTATTGTGTGCCTCATTTATAAAAGACTTACACGAACAGATCTTAGACTCCACTATATCCTAATTGTGTTCATCCAATGCCCGTAATCATCATTATTTCATTCGTCGCTCAATGGTATATACATATTACAAGATTTGAAGGTCTAGCTCGAATGTCACTAAAACATGTATCAATGACAATATATATTTTTGTTCTGTTTAGACAATATACAGTGAAACCTCTTTTCAGAGACCACTTAAGGGAGAGTTAAACAGTGGTCTCATAAGACAGGCTGTCTTTAAATATAGGTTCAATCTATATGAAATGCACTAAGGAGGGATCTAAAATTAATAGCCTCATAACACAGGTTATTGCCTAATACAGGTGGTCGCTTAAGCAGGTTTGATGATTGTAGATCGTTGCCTCTAACTGTGAAAAAGCCACTTCTAACGTGTTCTTTAAAACACAGTCGCACATAAAGAACTTTCTTATATAAATGATAATATTGAAAACAAGTAAGCTTTATATCACATGTTTTTACTTTTGATTTATCTGTCCATCTGTTCTGGCTGTCGGTAGTCCAGTGAATGGAGAGTTTACGTGTGAAAAACTCGGTTGTTGCAATAACATCAAATGTTCCATCTGGCGTTGCTATCTTTAAATTTCTAAAGTATACATCAGGACCATGTGTGATCACATGCTCTTGCCATACAGATGTGTATTGATGGTTGTCTGGATTTTCTAACCACAATAACTCGCTGTCCTTTGACGCTACAATATAGCAGAAAAGACGTAGGTTAAAGCTAAACCTTTCTGTAAAAACTGAGTGGACAACAATTTCCAATTCAAACTATTTGTAATTAATGCATACAAGCATTTATGAAAATACCAGAAAGACATGCAGACATATTAGTAGCATAAGTAACTTAGAAATTATACAAAAGATAAACAAAAGTAAGAAAGGATACAAATTAACAGGTTTATACATATACAAATAACTTGTAGAGACCGCCGCCAACTGTAGAAACCCTATTTTGGAAATATGACTTCAATCATGGTGATTTTATAAATGATTGCTTTAAATACGTACTGTTAAGTCTTAATGTTAAAATGTTTTCATTAATGCTGTGTTTCAATAAACAACACTTACAGAATATTGTAAAAATAGGTTCCCTGGCTCTGCAGGTGACAATATCAAGGTCACCATCCCCATCCATGTCCTTGAACAAAACTCTGTGATAAAACCAGTTTCCTTCCTTGGTCCCTGTTATTTTGTATGGACCTTGTGGGCTACCAGTAGAAATGTCTACCAAATAGATGGCACCTTTTGTATGAAATGGTACCAAAAACCCATCTGGTATTACCACCATTGATTTTCCAAACACTGAATCTGAAAGGACGTAATTGAATAGTTAGTAAGATAAGTAATTTAGAAAATATTGAAACGATTGTCTTATCCGGTTATCTAAATAGATTTAAAGCGGTTAGTCAATCAAGATCTAAAATCATAAAAATGGACAACATGAAATAACCAATACGATAACACTCAGTAAAAACCTCAAGCAATCACCAAGCTCTGATAAGTTAGATACCCGGATAAGACAACCGTTTTTCTGGCTAATGGTACAACACCTTTCATTGACAGCCAAGATGTAGAACAGCTATAAATGCATTTTACTCCCATTGAGATAGTTTCATTTCCAAACATATCTCTGGCTTGTCTTTTTTATCTCAGTCTAAATATCTATCGCATACCGTTTCTAAAACAAACTTTACTAAAAAAAGTGTGAAAATTTGTATCTATGTTTAACAGTGGCATCTGTGTCTCGTTCAAGTCAAATCAACTGAATGGAGATAAAGTGCAACATATTATATAAAAATAACTCGATCCGTTTAAATAAAAGTTACCAAATATTCCATACTGACCACTTACCGGGTACGCTAGCTACTTCATTAGGCCAAGCCAATCCACCAGCCAGCTTTACAGTACGGGTCTGTCCAAAGTTATCATAATGGTCTCCCACATTAGATATCATTTCTACAGTACCACCAGAGAATGGCGAACCAGTAAATGTCGAAATTAACAAATCATATTTGTTCGATGTGGCTGTGTTTGTTCTGAAGTTTAGAAAAGCTGCATGCTTTACACTGATTTGTCCAATTTTCCGTGGTAAATCGAAACAGTTCAAGTTTGCTATATTTAATGCAAACAATAAGATAACACATTTATTATTCATCTCGGGAAAGAGCTTTCCTTATAACTAAAAGTATACAAATGTTCAGGACTTGGAACATGACGATTACTTATAGGTAACAAGTTTCATAAAAGCACATGTCTTTCCATGCGATCTATTGAAAGATCAGGTGTTTCTTATCACTTTGAAGTATATATACAAGAAGTATATATGAACCGAGAAGTGGTGACTTTTCCCACAGTCGAATTTAAATGCCCTAATTATGACTGAGGGTAACACGAACATTTATATATATTGGTATCCCCTTATTTGTTGAATTTCAGATAATTCCTTACGATTATCGGTGAATGAAGAGTACCATTTTAGTTTATGTTAGCGCCGTATTGCAATCTGATTAAAATTCTGATCCGTATTAACTCCAGTGGCGGATCCAGTTGGACCCCTCCTTTTTTTGACGATCAATGCTTTTGAATGGGGACATATGGTTGGAACCCCCCTTTTAAAAATGACCGGATCCGCCCCTGAACTCGCGTGCTCATATGAGTATAACGAAATCAGAGAACTATATTTTAATTAGATTGCGCCGTCTTGTATATTAATTTAGCTACATTTCAAAGAATTTCCCGTTGTTGTGACATTAAAATATTACGCTAGATTGTATCAGTACATCATCCATATCCTTTTTACTCTTAATATGTTTACAACAAGTTGTGAGACAAAACGGTTGAACATTTGTTATGTCGTTGCATTTTTGTATCACAAACACGTTAACCGATTGAGTTAATGTGTACTTAACATGTCCGTCGTCAACTGTGGTCCCGATTGATTTGAAAGTATTATGAAGATGATACACGTACTTACGAGGCTAGATCATCACTCTGTATGTTAATTCACTTATCTTAGGTCGGTGCTCTCATCGGTGGCTGTCTCTTCATGTTGGTATCATATATTCCATAAACATTGTTGGATTAATTAACAATTCTCCGATTCATACCATTTTCAAGGCTGACATTCGATATATCAAGAAAAACGATCGTGAGAGAATAAGTAACGGTGGGGAAGCATTGCGATCGGAATGCAATAAATACAATTCAACTTCAAAATCCTTGAAAAGAATCGTTGTTTATCAAAAGGCAGAAGAAAACAAATGGGAGAAAGAAAAACGTCTGTCAAAACGGTTCACTTTCCTCAATAATACTGTGCACTAAGGTAAAGAAAAATGCAAAAAGACAAAAGTCAAAACATAAACTATGCGATTCATTACATGTTCTGAATCTATATAGATCACATTCCAATACATTATGAAATCTTTTGTTTGTCAGATAGTACAGTAAATCGGAATTGGTGTTTTCCTTGAAAAGGTGCAGATTATTTTTCAAAAAGATATTTGATAATTTTTATTGAAAATTGATCATGAAAGATCAGGCGTTATTTCGATCGTGAAAGCAATGCGTGACAAAATCAAACTGTACATGTTTTTCTCATTGTTGAAGGCCGTACGGTGGTCTAAAGTTGCTTTCTTCTACGTCATTTGGTATCTGGTGGATAGCTATCTCATTTGTAGGCAATCAAACCACATCATCTTATTTTTATATTAATAATTATAAAATTACTAATTCGATGATTTACTTTAATAAATTGAAGTTTGTAATGTCTTAGTAAGAACGTTAATAATTTTTTTTTGTGTGTTGTTGACCACCACCTCATTTCCTTCAAAACCTTTTTAAGATCTCAATTAACAAATAATACAGAGCCACAGTTTTGTATCGTGATCAGGCGACTGTTCAAAATGTTTAGCTGATGGCCACTATATCAGCAATTTCCCCAATAACCGGGTATGTAAATCTGGTGGTAAGGAAGGTCAAAATAAAAGTGACTGTATACAGAAAAAAATACATCTGAGACCAATCTGAAATAGATGAAAGCTTAAACTATGAAAATGAAAACATATGTTCAACTCAGGAAAATGAAGTAGATACTAATGCTACATAACAAAGAAGTCACACAGTTGAACCTCTATTAACCAGCGAATTTGAATCTATATGCTCACAGCGCATGCAGATGACATAGATGTGTCACAGTCCTGAAGGAAAATAAATCCAAATCAAAGAAACCAAACCCCAATAACCTCGTTTGTATCTGGACAATAGGAGTCCGCAAACACTTCTACAAAACAAAAGACCAGCAGAAACGTGATTTGGAAAGGTTTCTAGTTACCCCTACCAATGTTCTACATGACAACGAGGGTGATACCACAGTGAAAAGGTAAATCATTTTAACATCACAATCAGGTCATTTCATATTCAATGGTGTTTATCAAAATTTTAAATACATTCAGTTTGATGAAACTCAAAAATTAAATAAAAAATATAAGATCGATTTGATGACAGTCATATCTATCTTTAGCTCCACTATGTATTTGTCTTTTACAACACAACTCATGCGAAGTATTGTCGTACAGCAAAGCTTTATTTGGCTATGGACCCATTCGTTGCACCTTCTATGAAATACATAGTTGTCTCATCACGATTCACGAGTTGATTTTTTTGTCAATCACGATTCACAGAAAATAAATTTCCATGATCACGGATCACGAAAATATAAAAAAAAAAAATCTGTAAAAAAACGGATCACGATAGCGAAAATGCGCCGATCACGAAGAACGAAAATAACCCATCAGGCCCCTCATCTATGTTGTAAACCAAAGCATTTATTCACTAAAGAACAATAACATGTTACCTATAGTATTCATGCAATAGTAACAAAAAATATCTAGCAAAATTAAAGCAAAAAAGTGTTATGACATACAAACATTACAAAAGAGAGGCAAAAGATACGAAAGAGACATTCAAACTCATAAGTCGAAAACAAATTGACAATGCCATGGCAAAGAAAAAAAAAAAAAAAAACATCAAAAGACAAATAACAGAATACAAAACAGAAAATAGAAAACTAAAGATTGAGCAAAACGAACCCCACCAAAATTTTGATTCTTAATTGGTTTTGCAACTGTTGTGATTCGATCGTCACCGATGAGTCTTTTTATGGCGTCTTTGTTAGATTTATTTGTATGTTTGTATGCATTTTTAGTCAGTTGTGTTGTATGTCTGTGATGTATTTTTACACAGTTTTGGATGCTAGATCCCAATTATTGTCACATAAACCTCTTATATAAATAAGAAGATGTGGTATCAGTGCCAATGAATGAGACAACTATCCATCCAAGTCACAATGTGTAAAAAATAAACAATTATAGGTCAAAGTACGGCCTTCAACACGGAGCCTTGGCAAGCTATAAAGGGCCCCAAAATGACTAGTGTAAAACAATTCAAACAGGAAAATCAACGGTCTAATCTATATAAATAACGAGAAACGAGAAACACTTATGAACCGCACCAACAAACGACAACCCCTGAACAACAGGCTTCTGACTTAGGACAGGTGCATAAAAATGCAACGGGTTTAAACGTTTTAACAGGCGCCAACCTTCACCCTAACCTGAAACAGTGGTGTAACATTACAACATAAAAAGACACACAATAAAATATCCATTCAAATGGCTTATCTCGATCAAAAAGACATATTCACAAACAAGTAAATAAGTCGAATAAGTTTGATCTATGACACAATATAAATAAAACAGATGTAACAATGTCAAAAAGACAACTTTAACCTAGGACAAAATGGCGTTAAATAAAGTAACGTACACAGGTAAATTTAAATATAATAATTTTGTTGTTAGGAGTACCGAAACATTTTTTACAAAATAAATTTGTTGTTCATAGTACGAGTACAGATGTGAAAATTTATCGTCATACTAAATACTTATCTGGATAGTTGTCTCATTAGCACTCATACCACATCTTCTTATTTATATAAGAGGTTTATGTGACAATAATTGAGATCTAAAAGCCAAAAATAATTAAACAATATTAAAAAATTGTAAGACGAGATATAAGACAAAATAAGTAAACACTGAATAACAGAAATGCATTAAAAATTGTGTCAACAGGTCAAATTAACACGAAAGTACGATTTGAGAGTACTCGCAGTTACTGAAAGCTAGTTAAAAGCCAAAAACAATTATAATAAAAATTCATGCATCAGAGACTGAAATCAATTAAAACACATCCCAGGCAGGGATTTAGTGTTTTAACCCCATGGACAGTCAAAGAAGACATGACTTGTGCAATGCCAAAATAAAAGTAACGACAGGCAGTAGGATAGTTAGGATTTAACCTTATGATAAATATGTATGATGTTATATATAGATAAAACAATTTCTAAATAGAAAATAGATGTAGATGTGTATATATACATCCCAAAAACCATTCGAAAAGAATACAAATTTAGTTACGTTTTAATTTGTTGATGACAAAATCGATGTTAGTGCCAATGAAAATAATATTCAAAGATCTTATTACAATATTAATAAGATAACCTTTACTAATAAGTTTGTTTTAAAAGTGCGGTAAGTTTACACGGATCACATAGTGATTTCAGCGCTTTAAGTACAATATTACCGTAAAATTTAGGATGTGAAATACCGTTTGTAATAAGTTTTCTACAGGTACAGCCAAATTTACTAATCAAATATTTGTATCTATGAAAAAATTAAGTAATTCATGGTAACGAAATCCCTGACTTAATAATTTACCAGTGATGCATTGATTACATTCGTTAAAATCTATGACATCACTACACACACGGGCATACCGAACGAGTTTGAATATATGAACACCGTATGATGGAGCCAAAGGAACATCGCCGTCTAAAAAAGACAAAATCAACAATAGGGAATGAAAAATCGTCTCTTTTGTCGTAAATTTTTGTATGGAGTTTCCCTTTAGAAATTGAAATGTCCAAATCTAGAAAAGGACAACTACTGCTGTTTATGTTAGATTTATTTAAAGTAAGTTCCTTTGGGTAAATTTCGGTAGTATATTTAGAGAACTCTGGATTATTTAATGAAAAAATATCATCAAAATAACGGTAGGTATTGTTGAATGTTCAACCAAATGTAACAATGACGTGTCTTTACTGATATAAACTGGGATTCATAGCAATATAGGAATACATCTGCTATTAAAGGGACCGTCAATTA